CGTCGTCGTCGTCGTCGTCGTCGTCATCGTCGTCGTCAACGTCGTCATCGTCGTCGTCGTCCTCGGCGTCGTCGTCGTCGGCGTCAGCGTCGGCGTCGGCGTTGTCGTCTGCGTCGGCGTCGGCGTCGGCGTCGTCGTTTCGGCGTCGTCGCCGTTATCTTCGTTGACGCCCTTGTCATCGTCGTCGTCGTCGTCGTCGTCGTCATCGTCGTCGTCGTCGTCGTCGTGTTCGTCGTCGCCGCCTGGTCCGCCGCCATCCCGCCCGCCCGTCCGCCCGTTAGGCTCCCGCCCGCCGCCGGGCCCGCCCGCCTGTTAGGATCCGCCCGCCCGACCCGACCCCCCGGTGAGGGCGCGCGAGCGCCACCTCCATTACGCATCATGCTAATGTCCCGCCCGCCCAACCCGCCGCCCGCCCGCCCGCCCATCAGGGTCCGCCGAGCCAGTCGGACCCGGTGAACAGGGATTCAGGCGAACGGGGGTTGAGCAGGAACCGACCGTCCTGGCATGTCTATGGGCCTACCACGAAATGTTCTCAGAACCCAAACATCTTCGAAAAACAAAAAATGTTCTTAGAACATAAGCCCGATGCGTTAAAACAAGACAGCCCCAGCCAGAAATGTTCTAAGAACATTTCGTGGCAACCACAAAAGGTACTTAGAGCATTCTTTGGTAGGCCTATAGGCACGCCAGGACGCTTCGCCACTGCTTGAGGGGGGGGCTGGCGAACGGGGACCCGCGAACGGGGACCGGCGAACAGGGAACGCCGAACGGGGACTCCAGCGAACGGGGACTCCGGCGAAGGGGACTCCGGCGAACGGTGACCGGCGAACGGTGACCGGCGAGCAGGGACTCCGGCGAAGAGGTCCTGCATCGTCGACAGCTGTGGATGGCAGCGGAGCAGAGCCACCGGGACCAACGCATCACGAGGAACCTGCTGCACGTGCAGGAGAAGAGGCTGCAGCGACAGCCAGGCCAGGGCCAGCGCCAGGCTTTCTCGGCCCCCCGGCATGCGGCATGCGCGGGCTTCTCCCCTCGTGTTGCTCCTGCTCTTGCCTTCCTCTCCTTCTCTCTCTCTCCCCCATTCAGGGGCTCGAGCCTTTCTGGGTCAAGCTGGGGGTCGGCCTCAGGTGGCCCAAGGCCCGTGCCTTCGAAGAAGCAGGAGTGCGTCTCTTTGGAGTCCCGAAACGGTGCGGTGACGCACCGTGCGGTGACCTCGAAATCCCCCAGGACCTCACCGCACGGTGCGTCACCGCACGGTCTTGGGACCCTGGAGGCCCCTGTCGCCCGAGACATCCTCGGAGAGGGCCTCGAATCCCCAAAACCGTGCGGTGACTCACCGCACGGTGTGGTCACCACACCGTTTGGGGGCCCCCGAGTCTCAGAAGCCCTCCCCCCTCCCCCCCGTCCCCCGTCTGCGCGTGGCTGGAATCCAGAGGCGCGCCAGACCCAGGAGCTCCAGCAGCCGACGCGGGGCGGCCCGTGCCACTCGGCGCGGCGCTCGGCGGCGCGCGGGGGGCCGCCGCGGGCCGCCGCGGGCCGCCGCTGCTGCGCGGAAGCACAGACCGGCGGCCGCGCGGCGACGGCGACCGCCAGCCGCGCGGCGGTGCCGAACACTCGCCGCGGCGGCGACTCGCCAGCCGCGCGGCGTTGTTGGGGGCCCAGGGAGACACCACCACACAGACACAAATCCCGGGATCCCCCCAATAGTTTCCCGCATGTGGGTGCTCGTCCTCCCCTCCACTTCCCATGACTTCCCCCTGTGCTGCTGGGCATCGGCGCTCGCGTGCGTCCGTGCCTGTCTTCCTCCCGCCCCAGCTGCAGGAGCGGGTGCGCCGGCCGGGCACGCCAGGGCGCGTGCCGCCAGACGCGCCGTGGGCGACCAGGCTGCTGGCCAGTGTTAGGTTGGGCATGTCCTCCTACAGGCCGCTTCTGGAAGAAAAAGTTAACGTGGTTACAACAGGATTCCGAAATAGTCACAAACAAAAACAACCAAAACTTGTTCCCAGACTATTTTGAGGATTTTTGAATATTCCTCCTGTAGAGGGACAGGCCCGACTTCAGGCCAGTGGGCTTCTGCTCCAAGCCGCCCAGAGCCAGCCTCGCTCCAGCAAAACACGGGGCCCAGTGCGGGCACGAGTGCGGCGACGCGGCCGCGCGTCGGACGCCGAGGAGGAGGCCTGGCGTGCTCGAGGGCCCGCCTGCGGGGGACCCTTCCCGCCTACAGCGTGGCCTCCTCCACGGGGCGGGATGCCAGCCGCACCCATCCGCACCCTGCACCCGAGGCCTCCTGGACCGGACAGTGGGGGGCCTGGGCACTGAGCTGGGAGCCCCTTGGTGACCAGACCTAAGTCCTGGAGAGCCGAGGGAGTGGATCGTCTTGGGCGTTCGAAGCACTTGAGGACTTCAAAGGCGCCTTCTCCACCCATCTCTAACCTGGCTGGCTCAGCACGGATGGCGGCTGGATCCCCTATCTCATGGACCACGGGAGCATCTACCTTTTCGGAGCATGGGCCCGGCCCCGAGCATCCCCGGCGTCCTGGCCCTGATCGCCCTCAGCTTGAAGACCATCTGCGCCCCGTGCAGCTGGTGCGTCTGGTTCGTCAGCGGCGCCCTCAGTCGAATCACCATCGATGCCTCTCCCGCCCGATGACCCAGTGACCAACAAGGACGGAAACCGAGTCCGCTGGGCGGACGGCCCACAGTTGCTCGTCTTCCTGGACAAAAGCCGATCAGGAGCCCGCGGGGCCGATCCAGACGTGCACCCGATCGTCGACGTCGCAGGACCTGGCGGCGAGGGAAGCGAGCTCCTGGTCAGACTCCTCAAGCTGAGGAACCCAGTGCTCCTCCAGGCCCGCGGGGATCGCCTGCTCAGCCGGCACCCCGAAGGTACCAACGCGGATGCACCGCCCATCGACGCCGAAGGACGCCACGAATCGGGAGCTGACCCAGCACTGGACGCGCCTGGGCCGCAGCAGCTCGCCCAGGCCCCCTTCGGGCGCCCGCCGCAGCGGGAGGCCACGCTCGGCCCCGGGCGGGCCAGGGCCACCCCGCGGCGGGCGCTCCCGCATGCAGCCCAGCGAGCGCCCAGCGAGGCCTCCGAGGGGCGCGGGGGCGAGGAGCTCCATCCGTGAAGCTGTTGCCAGTTTTAAAGCTTCAGGGTCATAGGTGGCGAAAAAGTCTCACGCGAAACGCCCGGCCTGCCCGAAAAATTGGCGACAGGGAGTTTTTTGGAGGGGGAGGAGGAGGAGGACGAGGAGGACGAGGAGCAGGACGAGGAGGAGGACGAGGGCTCTGAGAGCTCCGTTGGCGCAGACCGCTCCAGCGGCCCCTCGCCGCACCGGGCCCAACGCGGAGACCGCCCGCGCCCGGGGCGACGCGCCAACGCAGGAGGACCCAAGGGCCTACGCCGAGCCCCAGGAGGAGGAGGAGAAGGAGGAGGAGGAGGAGGAGGAGGAGGAGGAGGAGGAGGAGGAGGAGGAGGGAGTTGCCCGACACGTCTATGCGGGAAGCCTCTGGAGGCATCCGGCACCCTGAGCACCCCCCCCTAAGCTTCTGGAGGCACACCTCGGGCCGGGGCTCCCGAGGAACTCTCGGCGGCGACCCGCCGACGGGCCCACGCCGAGCCCCAGAGGGGCCCAGCAGGAACCCCCACACGCTGCTGCGTCGTCGGGGCCGTTGGTGCAGGCGTCCAGGCCGACGCCCGGCACGGCACAGGGGATTTGCCACATTTCTGAAATTCGGTGCCACCCCTCACGCAGATCCGCGGGGTCAGGGTCCAAAAACACAAGGGATTTGCCACATTTCTGAAATTCGGTGCCACCCCTCACGCAGATCCGCGGGGTCAGGGTCCAAAAACACAAGGGATTTGCCACATTTCTGAAATTCGGTGCCACCCCTCACGCAGATCCGCGGGGTCAGGGTCCAAAAACACAGGGGATTTGCCACATTTCTGAAATTCGGTGCCACCCCTCACGCAGATCCGCGGGGTCAGGGTCCAAAAACACAGGGGATTTGCCACATTTCTGAAATTCGGTGCCACCCCTCACGCAGATCCGCGGGGTCAGGGTCCAAAAACACAGGGATTTGCCACATTTCTGAAATTCGGTGCCACCCCTCACGCAGATCCGCGGGGTCAGGGTCCAAAAACACAGGGGATTTGCCACATTTCTGAAATTCGGTGCCACCCCTCACGCAGATCCGCGGGGTCAGGGTCCAAAAACACAGGGGATTTGCCACATTTCTGAAATTCGGTGCCACCCCTCACGCACATCCATCGCAAGGCGTGGTAACCCAAACTGCGAGTACTCCCTCGGCCCTTTAATCCCAAGGTGTGGTAACCAAGCTCGTAAACCATACACGTCTTACCAATCGCCCTGTGTGGTCACCCCTCTTGTGATCAGTTGGTTTTGCCGATTGCGAATCGGCCTCGCATGAAGTTCCGATACTGCTGCACGATAGCGCCAAAGCCTCATGACTTAGCTCTTCCATGGCCCATTCTCCGAGAGAGGGGGCCGGCGGCAGGGGGCGAAGCCCTTACGGATAACATGTGCAAGCGTTTCACGGATTCCCATGATCAAAATACCAGACATGGTGTTTTGAAAAGATTCAATATTATGAGGGCGCAACAGTTACCTTCATTCGCGGTGTTGAAGTCCCAAGAATGACGTTCTGGCACGATTCATCAGGACCGTCAAAACGCAACAATCAGGTTGATCCGTGGCGTTGGAATCCCGAGAACAATGTTTTGGCATGCTTCAGGGTCTTCAAACGGTTGTCTTCCAACGAGGCAGTTCCCTCCATGGAAATGAACTGTTGTAGGAGCTGATGAAAAAAGGGAGCTTGGAAGGAGGGCTTATTCCAGCATCGTTGATGACTCTTGGGGTCACACTGGTCCTCCTCCTTCTCCTTCTCCTCCTCCTCCTCCTCCTCCTTTTCCTCCTCGCCCTGCTCCTCCCCCCCCCTCGAGCGGCAACGACGGCGACGGCGGCGGGAGCGAGTGCCTTCTTCTTCTTCTTGCCGAAGTCCAGGGCCTCCTCCTGCGAGAGAGGGCGCCGCGGGGGGGGGGGGGGGCACGCGGCGCCGCGGGGGCGCCGAGGCGTCTCGCGGCGGCGCAGGGACTGCCCAGTCCACCACCCTCTTTTTGTGCTCCTCCTCCTCCTCCTCCTCCTCCTCCTCCTCTCTCCACCTCGTCCTCCTCCTCCTCCTCCTCCTCCTCCTCCTCCTCCTCCTCCTCCTCGTCCCTCCTCCTCCTCCTCCTCCTCCTCCTCCTCCTCCTCCTCCTCCTCCTCCTCCTCCTCCTCCTCCTCCTCCACCTTCCGAAAATGCAATGCACATTTCCCTCTCTCTCTCACTCTCTCTCTCTCTCTCTCTCTCTCTCTCTCCTTTCTCCTTTCTGCCCCAGTGCAGGGGGCCGGTGCGCTGGCGCGGCACGCACGCGGCGCCCTGGGGAACTGAAGGCCGAGCTCCCTCGACGTCACGTTGGCGACACCCTTGCGGTGGCCCACCTGGTACGCCGCCGTGGTTCGGGCGGTGTCGCGGGTCCCCCTAGGTGTGGGGGTGCTCATTGGCGGATCCTCACCCACTCTTCCCACGGTCACGGTCCCCCGCCGTGGCGTGCATGGGGGTGAGCGGTCGCCCGAGGGAGTGGTGCCCCTCGGGTGGCTTATCCGGGCGGCATGGCCAACGGTGCTGTGCTATGTCGTTATGTGTGCGGTTCGAAAACCGCCAGGACCTGAGGGTGACGCCAGGAGTGCGTCGTGAGTGAGGGAGGAGCCTGTTCGCGTGGTTTTCTGTTGCCTGCCTGCAGCTCTCCCAGCTTCCCTCGTCTGCTCCCTCTCCCAGGCAGCGTCTGTGTTAGTCGTGATGCTGACTAGGTACACGTCACTCAAATGTGGCACCTCCCTTGGGGGGGGCAGGTTGTGACACTGGCGTGCTTCTCGTGCAAAACGAATGGTCGGGAGAGGGCAGGGCCGTGCTAAAACGCATGGTGAGCCCCCTGGTTTTGTGACGCAGCACGACTGGTGCTCCTCAGGCAATCCTCCTTTCTCCTTTCTCCCTTCTACGGCACGGGGAATTACGGAGGCGGCGCGAAGCGAAGCGAACGCCCGAGTCGCGCGCGCTCCGCCAGGGAGCCCGCCTGGGCCCGTCAGGGCATGGCGTGGAGAAGAGGGGGTCCTGGAGGAAGGGGCACGCTCACGAGGGGGAAAGTGGGCCCTGGAAAACGAAGGGGGAGGAGGAGGGGGAGGAGGCGGAGGAGGAGGAGGAGGAGGAGAAAATCTTGTTCCGCCGTCTTCTTGGCCCCCGGGGCCGTCCACGGGCCCCGCGGACGCTCAGAGCACAGCTCGGGCTGACGGCCCCGGCCTGCGGAGAGCCCCGGGGTCCGGGGCCTGGGGCGCCCCTTCCCGGGGGGGGGGGGGGGGGCGATGCACAGGGCGGGGGGGGTGGGGGAAGGTGCACTTCTCGGGCCGCCCTCGAAGGCCCCTCTACTGCAGCCTCCCTGCCCCCCCCCCCCCTCCCCCCCCATGTCGCCCTCGCTCGTGCGCCCATTCCCCGTGCAGGTTTCGATGTCGTGCGCGTTTTGTTCTGCTGTTCGATGATCCGGGATGCTCCCCGATGGCCCCCGTGGGAAGAGAGAAGAAGACAAACAAAAAAAAACACACACGCCCGGGCGATGCCAAGCCTTTCACGAGACGCCCACAGGATCCAGGGCCCGCTTCCCTCCGAAACCCTCTCCTTCATGGCGACCCTGTCGCTCTCTCTCTCTCTCTCTCTCTCTCTCTCCCGGTCGGTGGAAAACCTGAGCCTCCGGCGTAGAGCGAAGTAAGGAGTTGTTGTTCTTGTTGCTCTTGCCGTTTCTGGGGAGTTTTCCCTGGGGGAGCAGAACAGGAAGAGGCAAGGGACGACCGCGATGACTCACGGGGCACCCTCGTGCACCCGGTGACAGCTTGCGCAATGGCTGCTGCGCAGAACGCAGAGAAAGGAGGCAGGCGAAACTGGCGAACAAGGCGCATGCATGGCCGCCGTGGGTCTGGAGGGTTTTATCCGGCACCGCGGCCGTCCCAGAGCATCCAGGAACGCCCCGGGGGCGTTCCAGATTTACGTGGGACGATTTAGCTTCGCGCCATGCTTGGCGACCTCCCCTACAAAAAACAAAAGCGCAAACAACTCCAGGAAACTATTGCCAATCTCTCCTCATTTGAGGCCGTTGCCGAGCCTCAAGCACCATCAACATAGAACAGCAGAGCACCTCGATAGCAGAATGCGAATGCTCCAGTGCGAATCCCGCCGGGTCCAATGATTTGAATGACCTTGGGCCAGCTGGGGCCACTGGGGCACCCTCGGGATCATATTAGGGGCCTCCTGGGCCGCCTTGAAGCCACAGTGGGCATCTCTGTGGCCGCATGGAGGCCATTGGGGTTTTCTTGGGGCCCTCTTGAGGGCGTCTTGGGGTTCGGTTGGGCGCTCCTCGGAGCTCGACGCCCCGGCGCTCTTGGGCGCTCCTGGGGGCTCTCCGGGGGCCGCTTTGGCGTGATCGCGGCATCCCGGGTCGCCTCAGGCCGACCTCGGGCCGAGCTGAACGCCGTCTGGGGGGCCCGCTGAGGGGGAGGGGGGGGGCGCGCAAGAAGAGGATCGACGTCGTCGAACACGCAGGTCGGACAGTCATTCGTGGAAGCAGTACGTCGATTATGGCCCAGGGTCTCTTGAAGATGCAGTTTTGAAGGATTTCGTTGCAAAACTAGTCGACGTTTTCGGTCCGACGCATGACGAGAAATACGACGGTAATTTGCAAAACGTAAATGCGTGGGCTGCTGCCCTCCGCGCGCGCCCCTCACCCCACGGCCTCCCCACGGCCCCCCCACGGCCTCCCCACGGCCTCCCCGCACGGGGGTCCTCGGCAGCGGCATCGGCGTCCTCGTCATCGGCGTCCTGGGGAGGGGCGATGAGCGGGCAAGAAGAGGCGGAGGAGGGAGGGGTGAGGGGAAGGGAGGGAGGGGAGGGAGGAGAGGGGGGAGACAGCTTTTTGGGGGGACTGCGACAAGCCTGCGGCTATAGCTTGCGAAACCCCTGGCCAATCCGCCCGCAGGCCTCCGGCAGGCAAATGAAGCCAGGGGGAGCAAGGAGGGAGGAGGAGGGGCCGAGAAGGCGCGGGAGGACCTCCATCCCCTCAGACCCTTCAAGCTCCCTTCTCCCCCCAACGACGGCGAAAGTGCGACACACGACCAACTCCCGACACCCATTCCCATCCTTTCCGGCGGGGCGGCCAAGACGAGAACTGACCATCTGAAGTCCAACCGAATCCCATGGAGGCGGGCCGACCCTGGCCCCTCCCCCCGGGCCACTCGGGCCCCCACGAAGCCACGAGAGGTGACCTCGAACGCGAAGGCGTAAAAGTCGAACTTGAGCCTAGAAGGAGTCGAAGGCAGCCTTCAGGGGCAGGGCGGCAAATAGGGGGAGCCGTGTCCCCCCCCCCCGAGAGGGTTGCAAAGAGAGGGGGAGCCCTGTCACACCCCCAAGGAGGTTCAGGATGTCTCCGCGACGAGAGTTCACCGTGGCCCCGCCGCCGAGCGGGGAGAGTGGACTATTGGCCGAACTTCCGCTGCGGCGAACTGGGATCTCAGGCGAGTTTTTGCTGCGCACTCGACGTCCGCGCTTTCGGCGGCGGACACGCAAAGCCCCGACCACCGCCCCCCACCCCACCCCACGAGGGGCAGCCGGGCCCCCGAAGGGGGCGCCATCCCCGAGCGGGGAGGAGAGCCGAACAAATTATCGGCGCTTGCGTGCCAAAACGTTTTCGTTTGCGGGGCTGGGCGCCGCGCCCTGGCGCGAGCGGCCGAACGACCCCTGCAGCGGGACACTCTGGCAACACGGATGCCGCCGCAAAAACCGTCGGCTTAACGATGGCACCACGCAAAGGCACCCCGCAAACCCTCCTCCTTCTCCTCCTCCTCCTCCTCCTCCTTCTCCTCGTCCTCCTCCTCCTCCTCCTCCTCCTCCTCCTCCTCCTCCTCCGCCTCCTCCCCTCCTCCTCCCCTCCTCCTCCTCTCCTCCTCCTCCTCCTCCTCCTTCTCCTCCTCCTTCTCCTCCTCCTCCTCCTTCTCCTCCTCCTCCTCCTCCTCCTCCGCCTCCGCATCCCGCCTCCGCCTCCTCCCTCCTCCTCTTCCCTCCTCCTCCTCCTCCTCCTCCTCCACCTCCTCCTCTTCCTCCTCCTCCTCCTCCTCGTCCTCCTCCTCCACCTCCTTCTCCACCTCCTTCCCCCGCTCCAACTTGTGGTAGGTGGCGGTGGAAAGCAGGCCCATCATGCAACTCGGCGCGAAAAGCCTGAGGCCCCTGAGCCCTGCCTCCTGCAGCGCACCGAGCTGCCTCGGCGTGTCCCCCCCCCCCCCCCTGGAGCAGCGCGAAGCGCGGCGAGGCGCAGGGATCTGGGGGCCCAGAGCGGCCGGGGAGGCGGGATGGAGGACGAGGGGCAAGGAGGACGGGAGGGAGGCAGGGGGAGAAGGGCTGGAGAGGGGATGGGGGAGGAGGAAGTGTGCAGGGGGATAGGGGAGGGGGGGGAGGCAGGGAGGGAGAGGGGGGCAGGGGGGGGGAGGAGGGAGCGGGGAGGCGGGAGGAGGAGGGGAGAAGAGGGACGGGGGGGAGGGGAAGGGGTGGGGAGAAGGGCAGAGGTGGGGGAAGGGGAGGCCTCACATGATGATGATGATGATGATGATGATGATGATGATGATGATGATGATGATGATGATGATGATGATGATGATGATGATGATGATGATGATGCTGATGATGATGATGATGGTGATGATGATGATGATGATGATGGTGATGATGATGATGATGATGATGATGATAATGATGATGATGATGATGATGATGATGATGAGGAGGAGGAGGAGGAGGAGGAGGAGGATGTGCTGAGGGTTTTTGTTGTCCCTCGGCCAATGTCACGAATAAGCGGGCTGTGACACCAGCAGGTGCAGACCCGCTCCTGCTCGCACAATGCATGGCTGCCTTGCCGCAGCGTGTTCAGAAGACGGACGCTGAAATACAAGAGAAATGGCACGGCCATCGAGCTACCAGAAGGAACGACACAGAGGAACGAATGAGCTCTCTCGCCTCGGCGAGCCTCGGCCACTAACAGCATCCCCGACAACTGGAGTCGGGCGGACAAGGGCATCCTGAGCTCGAAGTGGTTCCTAGTTCGACGTCTTTCGGGGGCGCGCAAGCATGGATCAGCGATCCATGGATTTGGCGCGCGGTCGCCAACTCCATGGATCGAGGGAGGTGCCCTCCCCAAGATGCGGCCAGTGCCGCCTCGTCCGGCGGCGGACATCTGCGACTTCCCATGGCAGCGGGGCCCGCCGCGAAGTCCGCGCCCCCCGGATCCGTGCTCGCGATCTCCCGAGCCTTGCCCAAGCGAGAGGGGCGGGCGAGGGCGCGTCCTTCGACTTCTTCTCCTTCTTCTCCTTCTTCTCCTGGCCGGCGGGCATCCGCGGCCCCGCCCCCGCACCGCGCCCCCCCCCCCCCCCCGGATGAGGTGCCGGCTCTCGCCCGGCAGGCGCGGCAGCCTCGCCTCCCCCAGATCTTCGCCGTTGCTTTCTCGTCCTCGACCTGCTCCTCGTTCTCTCCTTCCCATCTCCACCCTCGTCACCATCCTCCACCACCACCACCTCCTCCTCCTCCTCCTCCTCCTCCTCCGCCTCCTCCGCCTCCTCCTTCCCCCCCCCCCACCCTCCTCCACCTCATCCTCCTCCTCCGACTCCGCGAGACCCCGGTTGTCATCCTCCCGATCCTTCTGCGACTACTGCTCGTCATCTCGTCATGCTCCTCGTTCGCGTGATATCCCTCCTCTCCTGGCCGCCCTCCCGTCCTCCTCGTTCCCTTCATCCCTCCTTCCTCTACCGCGATTGCGATTCCCCTTCCCTCCTCCATTGCCCCCCCTCCCTGCCATTCCTCCTCCATCCTGTCATCTCTCATCTCTCCCCTCTCCTCTCCTCCCCGAGGCTGGAGCAGGGCCCACAGAGGCCCGAACCCAGCAAGGGAATGAGGATTTCGACGACTTCGACGACCCGTTCTTGTTCGCAGCGCTCTTCGGCCGCAGCCTGGGCGTTCGAGGCGTCCCCCCTCGCCCCCCCTCCTGGTCCTCCGAACCCTCCCTCGCCCGCTCCTTCCCCCCCTCCCCCCCGACGACCCCAGCCGAGGGCAGGTCGTGCTGCCTTCTGTGTCCCTTCGCGCGTCGTGCGGTGCGACCCGCTGCGACTCGAGCCCCGCAAAAGCTGGGCCCAGCCAGGCCCGCCGCCGCTGCCGCTGCCCAGGCCGATCTGGAGCCCCCACTGGAGTCAGAGCGCTGGTCGTTCCCCCCCCCCCCCTCTCCCCCGCCTTCTCCCACGCTCAGCTCGGCGGCGAGCGAGGGGGGGAAGTGAGATGGAGAGGGCCCTCTCGGAAGGCGGCGGGCCTTCTCAGAAGCCCCCGCGCGCCCCCTCTTGAGGAGTCTCCGGCGCCTCCGGGACAGGCTGGAGCAGCGTGCTCCCCCAGAAGGCCCGGGGGCCTCCCGAGCCTCCGCTGAAGGGCCTTCTCCTCCTCCCGCGCCCCCCCCCTGGGCTCGCCGCCGATCAGCGAGGAGCAGAGGGCGAGGACCCAGCGCAATCGGGAGGAGGCGCGCGCGCGCGCAGGGCCGCGCGCGCGCGCAGGGGAGAGCCAGGGCACGAGGCACGAGGCGCGGGCTCCCTGGCTCGCCCCTGGGGGAAGACGCCCTCCCGGTGTGCGGCCCCGCCGAGCAGGGCTGGGGGGGCTGCTGCTCCTGCTTCGCTGCGCTCGTCCTCGTGTCTTGAGCCGAGCGCTCGAGCTCGCATCGCGTTCGCTCAGGCCTGGACCCCTATGAGGCCCTGCCGAAAGAGCACGCCTCGCGCAGAGCCCCGCGGCGAAAAAAGCCCCTTCCTTCCTCCCTCATCCTCCCCTTTCCCCCACCCCAACCTTCTGTCACCCTCTTCCTTCAAACCATGTCAGGAATGCGCCTCCCGCCGCCCCCCCCTTATGTTCCTCCTCGTCCTCCTCGTCTTCCTCACTCCTCTTCACTCCAGCGTCGTCCGTCTCATGTTCCTCCTATCACTCCTCCTCCTCCTCCTCCTCCTCCTCCTCCTCCTCCTCCTCCTCCTCCCCCTCATCCTCCCCTGCCTTCTTCACTCTACGTCGTCCTCCTCCTCCTCCTCCTCCTCCTCCTCCTCCTCCTCCTCCTCGTCCTCCCTCTCATCATCATCGTCTTCATCAGCGTCCTCACCATCAGCAACAACATACATACATACATACATACATACATACATACATACCTACCTACCTACCTACCTACCTACCTACCTACCTACCTTCCTTCCTACCTACCGACCTACCTACCTACCTACCTACCTACCTACCTACCTACCTACCTACCTACCTACCTACCTACATATATACCTACATACATACATACATACGTACATACATACATACATACATACATACATACATGCATACATGCATATATACATACCTACATACATACATACATACATACATACATACATACATACAGACAGACAGACAGACAGACAGACAGACAGACAGACAGACAGACATACATGCATGCATGCATACATACATACAGACATACAGACATACATACATACAAACATACATACATACATGCATACATGCATACATGCATACATGCATACATGCATACATGCATACATACATACATGCATACATGCATACATGCATACATACATGCATACATGCATACATGCATACATGCATACATGCATACATGCATGCATATATCCATACATACATCCGTCCATCAATCCATCCATCCATCCATCCATCCATCAATCCATACATACATACATACATAAATGCATGCATGCATGCATGCATGCATTCATGCATA